GCTAGGAGCAATATAGTTGTGATATCGTATAATATTTTTTTATTAACATTTAACCATACTTGAAAAGTTAGAGATTGTGGTAGCTACGATGACGAAAGTAATCCGCAATAATGATGATTGTGGTTGTTGAAGGAAATTGGCAATGAATTTTTGTAGTGATGGCTAGTGGTGCTTGTTCGTGTTGGCCATATTTGCGAATGTATAGTAATGGCTGATGAAAATGGCTGGTGGTGGAAGTGACTAGGGGATAGAGGTGTAGTGATACCGATAGTTTTTGCAATTAAGACTGATGGTAGCGGCTAATCGTGGAAGTGATAGGCGATTGAAAGTTGTAGTTGTATTACGGAAACTTGTGTAGTGATTGGTAATGGTTGTAGATTATGGAGTTGGCTCGTAATGATGGTGGATTGTGGAAGTAGTGGTTAAATATTGATGATTGGCGATGATAACAAACATAATGGGGGTAAAAGGTTCTTCCTCCGATCCATTTTAATTGATATTTAGATTTTTTGTGGTTCATAATGTTTAAGTTTTTTCAATATCAAGAAGAAATTAATTTTCTTTATCAAAGTTGGCCTTAGAGTAAAAAGACTTAGAGTATCTGTTATATTTTCTTATAGTTAAAGAGACAATAAAGGTTACTATTACCAAATATGTGTGAAAGCAACCAAAAAAATAATTAAAGTGGATCGGATGGATGATATATTGCTGGGGTGGATGTCACGTGGTATGCCACCTCATTGCATCTATCCCATTTTACTCTTCCCTTACTTCTTCTTCCACACCACCTTCCTCTTTACCCAACTACCGCCAACTCCTTTACCATTCTTCCACCACTATCAGACCACTAGTCTTGACACTATCAAATGACCATTCTTTCACAAAAAATTAAACTGAATTGAAATTTTGCTTTTTTATGAACTGTACTTTTCCAACAAATCATTTGAAATCAAATTGAACACGGCGATGGAGAATCAGAACAGGGAGGATCTTTACATTGATAAGAAGCAGAAAACATAGAATCAACAGGATGAAGCAGCTAAAAAGCTCCTCAGTCTCTGGAAAAGCCTTGCCAAAATAAACTGAAGTTGGAAAAGGTCAACTATAATTGGGTTTTAGCTCGAGGTATATTCTGCTTTGCCCTCCAATTTGCTGTCGTTCTCGTGTGAACATATGAAGACGCGGAAGGAGAAAAACTCTTTAAAATTTGGATACTTCAACAAGAAAACAAACACCTAATCTCAATGAAGAATCAAAGGTTATGATAACTAGTATAGAATCAGTAATACTTTTTGATTATTCCTATCTCTAAACTTAATTAACTATTGTTCAAAAGCTCTATGCTTATTATATGTACTAGTAAAAACCAAATATTTATGTTATTGTCGACGTATTAAGAAACTTGGAATCATAAAACAAAACAAAAAATGAAATCAAATTGGAAAATGGAACCCAAAAATCAAAATTTTCGAAATGGTGTCAAGATTAGTGGTCTGATTGTGGTAAAAAAATAGGGGTGTGATAAAAGAGAAGGTGATGTTAGGATGAAGGTGGTGGTGGAAGAAGTAGGGGAAGGTAAAATAGGATAAGATGAAATGAGGATGAGGTGGCATGCCACGTGGCATCCACCTCATAGGTGTATATTTGACCCTTTTTCATTTTAAAAAATTTATTTAAGATTCAGGACTTCTTTTGTGTTGAGACCTATTATGAGCCACTAAATGATCGTGAAATAAAAAATTTGAAAAGTGAATCTTTCAAACCTTAATTATTTTGTCATAGAAGCGTTATATAATTATCATTAATACAACTGCTTGGTTCGGTTTTTGGGCAAAAGAACCGACACATATCTTAGTATACAAACTTCAAACAAAATTAGAACTAGAATTATAGGGCTTTACCCAGAAGGGAAGCCCTTTCAAAAATTCTCAACGGCCAAGGCAGAACCCAGGCTGAAGAGGGGGTTTGGAAATAGTTTTCAACCAGCAATAGACGCGCCTCGGTTAGTACCTCACTAGCTGCGTCATTGCCCCAAGCGCAAAGATGCTTTACTTCTACTGCCTCATTCCTTTTTTATAATCTGCCTATTGTCCGCTTCCTTTCACCTGCTGCCGATGTGGGACGAATGGAAGCAACCGACACAAGAATCAATAGCAGGAAGGAATTGTATTTCTTTTGCGTTTCACTACTTTGCCCATGTGCCCACCTACACCTCACTAACTTTACTTTTTCCTGATTGTTCCCTTCTTTCTTTGATAAAATAAAACTGATCAACCCAATGAGATAATTGAGTACAGAGAAATGGGTCGGTGGGATACTTCCCATAACTATACAACTCAGCCCCAAATTCCTATTCGCTGATTAGCATCTGGAATAATGAGCTTGCTTTTGGTCATGTGATATGACCCTTTCAAGAAGCCATGAGTCGTTACTGGGAAAAGATAGTCAATCTATCTCAAGTTTCAAATTTTAGGATTGAAACACTAGCATAATAATATCATGGAATTTTCGCATAGAATTTGAAGCTCCAAAACAATTTTATTACCGAAGAATGACCAGTAGGCATTACTAGCAAAACCTACCACCGAAGGATATGGTGCAGTGGATGAGACAACTCTTGCCTTAACCACCGGTCTCGTGTTCGAGCCTTGAGTATAGAAAAATCCTTGGTAGGTAGCGCGGCGCGAATCCGGATATAATCGGGTTCCAATGCGGGTACCGACACCAATTGGGAAATCAAAAAAACAAAAAACAAAACCTAGCTTGAAATAACCTCAAGCCGTACTACCAAACGTTGAGTTTAATATGTTGTTTCAGCATCTATTTCTCTCAGATCCCCATTTTTATCGAGAATTTATTAATCCTTGTTGCTCACATTTAGTGGTGGTAAAATGATAAAAAAAATAATTATCCATCCATATTATCCACTAAAAATATGTCTTATGAACTGTTTCAAAATGGGTCAAATATGAATAAGATTCAGTAAAAATTGCACGGGGCGCCCTATTTGGGCGCCCCCTTTTAACCTGTAGCCGCTTTGTCTTTCTGTTTGCACCTGCACCCACTTTTTAAAAAACTTCAGCTTCCCTTTCTCCTCCCCTTCTCCTCTTCTTCTTCTTCTTCTTCAATACCACAGTTCTTGCTCTTCACTGTAGTTAGTGTTTGAGATAAGCCTTTACAAATAGAATATGAGATTGGAACTTGCTAGTTTCATGCTTTGCGGTAACTGAAGAAGATAGATTTTCTGGATTTAGCTTTGCACGATATGTAATCGTCAGATTTTCATTGACCATTCTAACAAATTTTAACGGAAAATAATATGTAGCTACTTAAACATGATATTTCAAGACTATCCGCCAAAAATTGCTAGATATTTCCATATAATTCCTTTGATGAATGTACAAGAAACAATACAAGAAACAAAGACAAAAACTTTCCTAGTTACAACATAAAAACTTCAGCTCTAGAGCTGAAGTTTTTATTTTATAACTGGCAAACTTCAGCTGTAGAGCTAAAGTTTTCCGGTTACAAAGACAAAAACTTCAGCTCTAGAGCTGAAGTTTTCCAGTACAAAAGAAAAACTTCAGCTCTAGATGCTTAAGTTTTTATTTTATAACTGGAAAACTTAAGCTCTAGAGCTTAAGTTTTTATTTTATAACTGGCAAACTTCAGCTGTAGAGCTGAAGTTTTCCGGTTACAAAGACAAAAACTTCAGCTCTAGAGCTGAAGTTTTCCAGTACAAAAGAAAAACTTCAGCTCTAGAGCTTAAGTTTTTATTTTATAACTGGCAAACTTCAGCTGTAGAGCTGAAGTTTTCCGGTTACAAAGACAAAAACTTCAGCTCTAGAGCTGAAGTTTTCCAGTACAAAAGAAAAACTTCAGCTCTAGAGCTTAAGTTTTTATTTTATAACTGGAAAACTT